AATTTAATTTTTATTATTTTGTCTTTTCCGAAATTCTCTAATTGGAGATATTGATCTTTTATGTTTATTATTGCGTTATGTAATTTCAAAAAATCCATACCGATTATTCCGTCAAATTCGATGTTAAGTTCAGTTTTGATTATATTAAACTTTATGGGTGTTATGGTATTTTTGATTTTTGGTTTCAATGTAACCGTTCCCGCTGTTTGCATTGTTGTGTGTTTGCCGATACCCGATATTTCGGTTTTTTCATTTGGATTGAATGTGAGATTTGTTAATTTAAGTTTTTCGGGTTTAATTATGGATATAGCTGCGCCAGTGTCAATTAAAAGGGAGAAATAGAATTTTTTTCCGTATTTGTCTTCGTGTGGTAGATTTAAAACGCATCGGTTTTTATGGTTATTATCGATAACGAGACACTCCATTGGTAGTTCATTAGAAACGTCTTCACTTTGTGATATTTCGGTGGTATGATTAATTGGTCTATGGTTAGAACGATTATTTGATGGGCCTGGATTTTGATGACGGTATTGATTCTGTGAATGATTTGAATTTTGAGGTTTGTTTTGATTTGTTTGATTATTATATTGACGTTTGCGACACTCGTCAATCTCGTGGCCATCTTTCTTGCAGTAACGACAGAATTTTCCGGTTATTGGCTTTTTTCCTCTATATCGACAGTCGTTAGTAAAATGAGTATTTGTTTTGCAGTTTGAGCAATATTTATTCTTTTGATTTGGAGTTTGTTTATTGAATGAACTTTGAATCTTTAGATAGCTTTCTTCGGCGATAGCTTCGGAAAGTGCTTCTGTTAGAGACACGGGTTTAATCCGTCGTAATGCGGATGAGATTTGTGGTAAGCAATATAGGATAAAGCGTTGCAACGCCGTTTCTTTTATGTATGCGATTTTGCCTTCAGTTTCGTTGTTTTTATCCAGTGCGATGACATTAATTAATTTGGTTTGTAAATTTTCTATTCTTAAATGAAAATCGATTATATTTTCGCCAGATTTTTGAGATATACAATTGAGTTCTTCTCTCAATTGGCTCGTGTTTTTGTGATCAGCAAAAGCTTGAGTTAGAATGATTTTTAATTCTTCCCACGTTCTGATTGTTTTGCTTCGGATGTGAGTACGCGCATTACCTCGGATTTTGGAGATTATGATAGCTAAAAGCATATCTTTTTGTGTTCCTTCCGCAAAGGAAATTGCATTATTACAATCAGCCAGAAAGTCATATAGTTGTTCGCGATTGCCGTCAAATGAATCAGGGAGCATTGCTCGTAGTTGGGTCATGTTAAAAGCCATTCTATTTTGCAAATTGTTTAGAATGTGGCTTTGAATTGGAGTTTGATTTTGAGTTAGAGTTTGATTTTGAGTTGGACTTTGATTTTGAGTTTGAGTTTGATTTTGAGTTGGACTTTGATTTTGATTTTGGGAATTATTTTGATTTGAGTTGGAACGAGTATCAACCATATCTTAATTTTTGCAACAAAATAACACAGCAAGCTAGTGAAATTTCTCTACTCACAGTTTTTCCTGCTCGAATGCTTCCTTCGGTTTCTCTCGACAGCTTCACTGTTGGCGATGGACGTTGTCGTAGGCTTCGGCGGGATCAATGATGGTTGGAGCAAAGAGGGTGAACTCAAAAATGTTTAAGTATTTATCGGCTACTCAGTTCACCGTACTTAAATCTTTTAAGTTCTACGGCTTGATCAAGTTTCTTGAACGAATCTTCTTCTTGATCGAGTTCGAACACTTCTGACACCAGTATGTTGTGGCCTAGTCGACGTTGCGACTTTGGTTACACAGACTAGCTGCTCAGTAAATGATGCACACAAGAAATTTGGAAAGATACTAGTTTATTAATTCTCTTTACTCCTATTTAATATGTGTTTCTCTAATACGTCATGTACAAGAGTCCGATTTATGACGTACGTCTGCTAATGATTTAAGTCTAAGTTCAACAGATTAGCGGAAGCAAATACGGTATAGGAAAAATACATTATTTGGAAACTTAACTTGTACGTAAATATGATATATAAATGTCTAATCGCTAATTACTCTATTGGTATGGGACAACGGTCGTAAACTAAAAGAGATAAATAGGATCTGATCGCAGCGTCTTAATCTACGGACTATACTCTATCAGATAGGATAGTTAAAACGGAAATCTGAGAGATGAAATTTTAATTCTTAAGAAAAAATTGTCAAGGGGGGGTGCTTGATACTTTTTTTCGACAATTTTCAATAATTAATATCTCTTAAACTAAAAGCGATAGGAACCAACAAATGGCAAATTATGAAAGATTGGAAAATTCTCTATCAGATCAAAATATAAAATAATTATATTTCCTAAAGTAAAAGGTCGAAAAACGCGACTAAAAGAGCTAAAAATTGACATTTTGCAATTTTTGCCCATTTTATTCAATCGCGAATATCTCGTAAACTAAAAGAGATAAATAAGATCTGATCGCAGCGTCTTAATCTACGGACTATTCTCTATCAGATAGGATAGTTAAAACAGAAATCTGAGAGATGAAATTTTAATTCTTAAGAAAAAATTGTCAAGGGGGGGTGCTTGATACTTTTTTTCGACGATTTTCAATAATTAATATCTCTTAAACTAAAAGCGATAGGAACCAACAAATTGCAGATTATGAAAGATTGGAAAATTCTCTATCAGATCAAAATATAAAATAATTGTATTTCCTACAGTAAAAGGTCGAAAAACGCGACTAAAAGAGCTAAAAGTGACATTTTTCAATTTTTGCCTATTTTATTCAATCGCGAATATCTCGTAAACTAAAAGAGATAAATAAGATCTGATCGCAGCGTCTTAATCTACGGACTATTCTCTATCAGATAGGATAGTTAAAACAGAAATCTGAGAGATGAAATTTTATTTCTTAAGAAAAAATTGTCAAGGGGGGGTGCTTGATACTTTTTTTCGACGATTTTCAATAATTAATATCTCTTAAACTAAAAGCGATATGAACCAACAAATTGCAAATTATGAAAGATTGGAAAATTCTCTATCAGATCAAAATATAAAATAATTGTATTTCCTACAGTAAAAGGTCGAAAAACGCGACTAAAAGAGCTAAAAAGTGACATTTTTCAATTTTTGTCCATTTTATTCAATCGCGAATATCTCGTAAACTAAAAGAGATAAATAAGATCTGATCGCAGCGTCTTAATCTACGGACTATTCTCTATCAGATAGGATAGTTAAAGCGCCGGCATCTTTTGCGCTAAAAATTAAAATATCGGCTAATCGGAACAAATAATCGATTAATATTACTTACGATTAATCTTCTTCGGTATCGTACGCAGTTGTAATTCATGGATTTTAAACATTCCGTTCGCGATATATTCCGGAATAAAACACAAAACACTTAATATTAAAAGTCGTCGTTTACCGAATTAAAGTTGCCCGAAACATGGCGGACACACATCGCCATAATACACCACACAAGCCATAGATATCAGAGGCAAGTGAAAGACACCCGGCGACGGCGAACGACAAAGTATTACTGGCCGAATGCAACTAACGTAAGTTCTAACGCAGCGCGTGAGTTCGCACGGCACACAGGTTCAAGAATGTAAACAAACAACTGATAAGAACTCGATTGGCTGCACAAAATCGCGTGATCTCACACGGGACACGCATCTAACTCTACCACAAACAAACAACTGGTCGCAATATTGCGCTTCGATTTTAGTGCAAATATGTGTATTCTAGCGACAACTAGTGTCACGTTATGGTATTATATTTAAGTTTGATTGTACGCGCAGTACCAATACGCATATGGCCTTGCATATCCATTTACCTATTCGCAATATGGCATCGCATATTTTCAAAACGCATTTTTCAGTTACTTTAAAACCGTTTGTAGAGTTGAAATGTTTACTTAATTATACAATTTAAAAATACTGATAAGAATTACACTTCGTTGCTTCCATAAACAAAATAAATTGTAAATTTGTACTTTAATGACGCTTACGGTAGTAAATATGTAACGAAAATATTAATTTATACACAAAACAAGTCTACAAAACTTCGTATAAAACTTCCCTGCTAAGCTTATACATCCCACTAAACTTTAAAAATATATCAGCAACATGAACGCATTGCAAAGAAAAATACCAATATCGCACATTACAAAACAACAATTATCATTAACATGGCTGAAACAATCCGATAACATAGCAGAAGCAGCATTAGATTTTCTTAAAACACATTACTTACCAAATGAACCAATAAGCAAATCCATCGGTTTAAGAAACAATCCCAACGATTGCCAAGTAATCGACCGCTTCTTTAACAATTGTTTGCAGTCAGACTCTTCAGTAGTGGTAACAAATAAACAAAATGGACAGCTAGTAGGCGTATTTTTAAGTTACGTCGCTAAACGAAAGAAAACTTCTAAAGCAGATTACGTAGATTGGTCCACACAAGGATTGAAACCAAGTGTTAAACATGACATCTACATCAAAACAGTGGAAAATAAATTAGAAGAAATGAATTTGTTTAATAAATTTCCAAAAGCTGAAACTATAATGGAACATATGTACGGGGCAACGCATCCAGATTGGCTTAAAGCAGGAGTTGCCAAATCTGCTGTAGAATATGTAAAGTAAGATATAGTTATAAACAAAATTCTAAATACTAAATAAGTTACTTAAAAATGTTTACCTTTTTAGAGACGTTATTGCACCGCAACTTAAATGTGATATACTTTACGCACTCAGTACAAGTTCCTACAGTGCGCGACTTGTTCAAAACTTAGGTTATTCTGAATATTGGAGGATTAATTTGGATGAAATCAAAGATAATAGGCTTAAAAATCCGTTCTTAAACGTCGAACCACCGCACAAGAGTATTATTTGCAGTATTTATGAAGTTAAACACAAGCAAACTTAATCTAGGATCATATAAATAAATGAATGTAGAAAAACTAACCTCTGTATAGACTCGTATAGAGTATAAAGCTCTCACTGGCTACCTGAATAAACTTCCATGTCCTTTGATATTACTATCCACTTTTAACCTTCCTCTTGAATTGTTTTGTTTCTAAAACATTGAAAATTACAATTAGCAAGTAAAATTCAAGTATATGGATGGCATTTTCAGCAGTGTCATCGAAACTTGGACTGTTGGGTCAAACCACAAAACTCTGCACTACAATGTCCAAGTGTAAATATTCAGACTACGCGCAGTTTTCAAAGATTCTCGCCGAATCAAAAAACATAATCGCACTTACGGGAGCTGGTGTATCCGCTGAATCCGGTATTCCTGTCTTCCGTGGTCCTGGTGGTTTCTGGCGCACGCACAGAGCAACAGATCTAGCAACCCCACAAGCATTCAGAGCAAATCCTGCACTTGTCTGGGAGTTTTACCATTATCGCCGAACAGTTGCGTTTAATTGCCAACCAAATCCAGTAAGAAATAAATAAAATCTAAAATAAATAAATTATAATATTAAGTTGCAATTTTTAAGGCGCATATAGCTTTAGCAGAGTTAGAAAAGAACTGCTCAGCTAATGGAAAAACTTTACATGTAATTACACAAAATGTGGATGGTCTGCACATTGTTGCAGGATCACAAAATGTTTTAGAACTGCATGGATCTCTAAGAAAAGTGATTTGCACAAAGTGCAAACACATTGATGTAAATATAGATCAACCAATTTGCAAAGCATTAGAAGGAAGAGGGTAAAACTCAATAAACATGCATTAAAAATAATTTAACCAGAAAAAATTGTAGAGATCCTAATTTAAAGGATGCTAACTTACCAATTATACCAAATGAAGAGTTACCAAAATGTAAGAAGTGTAACTCATTGGTTAGACCATACATTGTGTGGTTTGGAGAGAATCTAGATGCTAAAGTTTTACATAAAGCAAGTAAGTTAAAAATATTTATAAAAAAACAATTAAAAATTAAATAACTTAATCCATAGAGGAATTAGTTGAGAATTGTGATTTATGCATGGTGATTGGCACATCGTCAGTGGTATATCCTGCGGCAATGTTTGCTCCACTAGTTGCAGAAAGAGGCAAACCAGTTGCAGAATTCAATCTGAATCAGGAACCAGCTTCAAATGACTTCAGGTATGCATATCTACAACTTAAATTAATATGTACATTATTAATTACAATAATTTTAAGTTTTCATTTTTGTGGACCATGTGGCGAGACTCTCCCCAAGGCACTACAGGTAAACTAATCCTATTGATATTTTCACATGTTTATTGAAAAAGTAAACTGTAGGACTTATTAATATATCACATAATGTGCTGTGAAAATGTACAATTTGTTCAGCAATCATCTAATTTCCACACTTGGGTCCTTCATTTCATCTAATATCAACTCATACACAACTTAAACAAGTATTTTCTGCAATAGAATATATTAATCTAGTAAGATCGTATATCGTGTCAAAAGGTTTACATGTAGATGCGTCGTAGATCCGCCGGCGATGTGATCATGTTACACTGCGGACACAGTTTCTTCGCGCCGAGTGTCTGCAGCCAGCAGATTTCGCAATGCACATGCCAGCAGCATACGGAAATCACCGGCTTTTTGTACCGCTCCATACAAATCAAACATTTGTAAACTTCGGCGTTGTTGCTCTCGCGACTCTCCAGCTCGCGGATGCGATTTTTCAGAGCTTCGATCGTCGGATCTCCTTGTGCTTCACAAGTCAGTTCGTTATCTTCGTCGTCTTCATCAGGTTCATCTCCGGTTCCATCTGCACCTAACACGGCTTTCCGTAGAGCGTCTCTTGCCTTGTCTGCGTCTGGTAGAATAATATCTCGTTCGGAATATTGTGGTGAGCCAAACATTTGGGCATCATCTCCATCGACAACTAAATCTTCATCTTCGTCCGCCATTGTGACAGATGTACCTAGGGAAGTGACACCTCCTTGTAATAATGTGGTTGCTCTTACTCTACTTTGTCCAGCCCATTCGTACTCTTCGAAATTTTCCACGTCGATGTTCTCGTCGCTTTCTTCGCTGGTGTGGCCGTTCTTTCTTAAACACTGCTCTACATGTAGGTTTATCTCTTCAGTGGTTTCTTTATTACAAACAGGGCAGATTACTTCATCGGTTTTTCGCTTCTTGGCTTTGGACTTTTGCCGGCACTGCCGATTCGTCCTCACCTTCTGGTATGTCTCCCACAGTTTGTCCACTCCGTTCTCGTTGTCTTCTCCGTTGAGGCTGTGCGTGGGTGATGTCGACGTAGTGTGATTTGATTTGCCGTTCAGTTTGCTGCGCACGTTGATTTTCTGCAGTTTTTCGATTTCGCAGTGCAAATGTTGATCGGCCTCGTTAGCGCGCAGCGTGCAACTGCAAACTGGGCAGGTGGCCGGGTCTATTTGGCGTTTCTGGCGGCGACAAGCTCGAGCGAAATCATCGAAGACAGCGCCGCTCGTACTAGGAGTTTCGTGCACCGACTGCTCCATAGCGACGGCGCCTAAGCCGGAAAGATACTCACTCAGGCGCGCATGGAGCCGCCGGCGCGTCTTTGCCACTCTGAGGACGCTCGCGGCTGCCTGGACGATGCGATGTTTGCGGATTTCCTCTCGGCAGGGACCTTTTGTGCATATTCGTAGGTTATCTTCGTACGCGTTGACGAGCTAGCCATCGGCAGTGCTTGGTCTTCATCGCTGATACAATCACGCTCGGCGATGAGGTCACCCTCGCTATGATAAACTTAATACCCGGGGGGTGCAAGTAATGTCGGCGTACAACGCACAACGATACAACGCGCAAACAATCGCAATACTTTTCAAACTTCGTCAATAACGATAACAAATGTTCGAACAGGATAAGATACACGCGCGCCGCCACACGCAAAACATTCTAACTAAAAATTAAATACAGAGTGATACACGAACAAAACAACTTGATAAAATTAAATAAATACCAAACAAACGCATTAAACCAAAATATAAACTATACACAACACTGATATTAACAACAACTAATATTCTACTAGTTTAAATATTTAAAAAATAACAAACAATTGTTTTCTATTGATAAATCTAGATCACCCTGTATATATATTTCTGCCAAGTGGGTTGCATAGTTATCAAACAGTATGTTCATGAAAACAAGTGTTCTAGATATAATTCAATCGACATGTCGCACACATTTGAAAAACATTGAAAGTTAATACATAACTCCATAAAAAATTTAATCGAAATTATCATAACACATGGTGCAGCAACCTAACATTTTCTCCTAGTCTACTTATATGCATGTTACAAATGCGATAAAAATTGCACCGAAACGCAAAAAAAATAACTATATATCCATTACTCTATCGTCGATCAATATACAAACGCGTCCCTTATCCTTATCTCCTTAGTACATTACATATACAAACATATGAAAGTAGAAAAAGAAACTTTTGGTCGCGTCAGCTCAGTCCAAAAAGTCGCTCGCGCAAACATTCATTCATTCAGCTTCCGAAAATTTTCACATTGAAGAACAAAAACAAATTAAGTTTCAAAGCATCGCTGCCCTCACGCACTGATTACATACAGTTACAAGAGATATCAATAATTACTTTCTTAATCTTATACTCGATATTGATTCGTCTTCGCTCTCAGTTTTCAACTTTTTGTTTTGTAACCGAAAAGTGGTAAATAATTTTTCTTTTGTAATAAATGATAATCCCCCTGGAGATTTCCCAATGCCCCAATTCTCCATCTAATTGTGTTGTGTGTGTATTGTTTGTTATTGTTATAAAAATCAGTAGGTGTGTGGGTGAGTATGTCCACTTCTTATATTCTTTTTTTTCGCTTTTAAATTATTTGTGTTTGCGCTGGATGCGTATGCGTAAATCTAACGCACTTTAACCGCCGGTACAAAGACGCCGTACTTAGTCAGCCAGATGCCGACGCCGGTGCCGAGGAGCAGCGAGAGCAGATTGGTGAGAAACAGCGTGCAGAGTCCTCGACGCGAGAACACCGAGCTGTCACCAACGCGCGCGTACCGCAGGCTGAGATCACGCTTCGCCGGGCGGAATGCCCAGTTCTTCGGCGGGAGTTGATCGGGGCGGCTGCTCCAATCAATAAAGAAATCACCATCCTAAAATAAAATAATTTTTTATTATTTTTTAAACATAATTTGTTATAATTTACACTTACATCTTTTTGTTCACTATTCATATAGTAACTCTGCCATTCCATGATCATCGGCGTGCCTTGCACAGGACTATTCGGTGGAGATTTCGGACTGCTGCGTGGTGATACCCTGGTAGAGGAATTATTAGACTCTCTTTGTGCCTCCCTCAACAGTCTAATATACTCCTCTCCATTAACATGCGGCGTAACAGACCCGGGGGTACCTCCCTGAGATCCGCTCAATGAAGTGGTGCCCCCAATGTGCACCCAGGACTCTAAAATTAAAACAATTTCAAATTTTGTTTTAAAACACTTTGTATTATAACCCACACACAACAAAGGAAGCAGGAAATTGATTAAAATGTTATTACCCATAGTTTTTAACGATGTATTCCGGTGATAAGCAGTGGTTTATCACCGGTTTCAAGTGCGAAACGTGAATTAACACCCGTGTTTACCGCCGTTCGTGCGCCAGCTGGCGATGTAAACAATCAACAAGCCACGGTGACAGCGCCGCGTCCCGTTCGTATGTGGGTTTTTGCGTTGTACGATTCGCGCGATTCGTACAACGCAAAATGTGCGAAAACGTGCACGAAACGAAGCAGCTACTTGCCTGACTCGCCGAGAAGTTCCTCCAGGCTGGACTTGGTCGATGACATCTTGCCGTACAACGCTTGCAACTGCGAAAAACCGAACACTCACACTTCTTGCACAGAGACAGGATTGGCACACAATGATTTTTGTTGTTTGTCGTCTGAGTTGTAATCACAAATTAATTCACACTCTGTGTCTCAATCGGTGATAATTGGCGTTTGTTGTCTGCTGATATAGCGGTGATGCGCAGTGGAAATGTGGAAAACACGATCGTGTTTTGTTTTGTGTATTGTTTCTTTTTTTTTTGCTGCTGTGTGACGGTGCGTCTCGGTGTCGGTGTACGTGACTCCGGACTGGTGTGCACGCAACAGAGCCAGCAGTGGTGCACAAGCAGCGAGAGTGCTGCGCGCCGCGTTACCACTTCCTTTGTCTCGCGCGAGCGCGCGCCCGTCACAGAGGTCACGTGACCCTGCCGACAGCCAATCACAGCCGTGCGACGAACGCAATCATTGTCCTGCAGCGCGAAAAAATAACATTCGTAAACATTCGCCGGGCGTGCAGTCGTGGGCAAACAAATGAAACACGCTAAATACTGAGCGCAACCAAAAATGACAAACCAAACGAATCAATATTTGTAACTGTATACAGAGACTGGTGAATACTGGACAGCGTGATATCTTATTAATTTTATATCAAATCACATTCAATATGGCGTCTGTTTTTTGTGCTTTGTTTTGTGTAGTCGGGCGAAAAATAAACAAGTCGATAAAATCGCAATGCAAGGACGCGATCGGAGGTGTTTGTCCTCGCTATTTTTACACAAGCCAGGCAATGAATGAACGTTGAAAGCGAAACTTTTTCAACGACATTTGTTTAAAGAGTCTAAACAAACAAACATAAGGATAGTATCCTCTTTAAATATTACTAAGAATAAAACGATGTATTATAAAATGTGCAAATTTGAGTTTTGGTTTGCGCGTGGTGGAATTACATATAGTCGGTAAAATATAACGAGTTAATGCATTCGCGAATTTGTTGTTTATTTTGGTGCGGCGTGACGTCCACGCCGTGTCCACGACACTCCACGCCAACCATTGACACCAATAATTCAGCTGCGCTCCAAAAACGCCCCGGGCCGGATGATTGATAATGTTTGTTAATCGTTTTTCCAACTGTGCGCGCTTACAAAGCCAAAACAAATGAATTTATTGAGTTATACATGTACTTATTTTATATTTACCGTCTCCAATAAATCACATGTGTTTTAAAAGTCTTACTACTGTTAAAATATTGAATCAATATTTCTTAAAATTTTATTCTTTTCTTAAAATTAGTGAAATAAATTTAAAAAAAATTCGAATAGCATATTTGTTAGATATTCTTGGGATCAAAGAATGACTTCATTATAATGCAATAAATATTTATTACCTAATTAAACTTGATAAAAAATTACGTGTCAAATAAATTCGTAGCAAGTCGGAAGTGCAGCAATAAATTCCTGCATGCGCGGTTATTTAACCTTTGTTTGATGCCGGAACCACTTGAAAACAACAAAACTTTTTTTAATTTCAAGTTCGATATGTTGTATCCTTGAAAAACGGTTTGATTCTCGTGATTTATGAGTGGAAAACTTTTAAAATGTAAAAAAAAATATACAAACAGAGTTATTTCTGTACTTTTGGTGCATTTTCCAACTTAAAAAGATTTTTTTCTTCCAAATAAAACTTATTTTAAAAAGAAAAACTTGTGTCAAACAAAAGATAATATTACAATTCTTAAAACAGTATAGATATGTCCTAAAACAACCAGCAAAATAAAATAAATTGATTTTTTTTCAATGAAAATTTTACTTTTTCTGTGAAATCAATATTATTTAATGGAGTTTTTCATTGATTTTCGTAATTTCACAGACTAAACTTAGCACTCTGTACAGACAAGTAAACAAGCAAACGTTTCATACTCGTTTCATATATACATTTGCGCGGTTTTTGTCGCGTTTTTAGCGCTTCATTTACACTTATTGTTGCGAAAGCGGCTCTAGTGCGTACTTAAAATGTGTACGCGAAGAAAATATTATGACAGTCAACATGATCTCATTATTGTTGCCACTAGACACATATAAATGTAACAAAAACAAATATGTAAGTATATCGCACAGAAAAGGAAAACAAAAGATGAGCTTAAACTTAAACTTAACCTCAAAACTATCAACTTAACTATCAAATCTAACTGGATATAGGGGAGAGTAGGTAGAGTAGTAGTAATGCGTAGTAAAGTTAATATTAGTTTATCACATGTGCATACTCGTACATATGTTGATATGGATTAATATTGACACTTATAGATTGTTTAAGTTAAATAAACATGATATACCTATCTATCTAATAACTAGTTTTAAGGAATACTTTTTTAATCTTTTCTTTGAACTATTGTTTGCTGATTCCAGTAATAATAATCTCAAATTTATTTCAAAGAAATGAGAAATGGTAATAATGCACTTTAGCGCCTTAATCATTCTAAATCTCCTACTAAAACTATGATTAAATTATTACACCAACTTTCATCCCTTATTTTACACCCTTCTAATTATATTCTAGCGATAAAAAGTGGCCTATCTCCTAGTTTGACAAATAAGTTGAAACAATGTAAAGTTTCATTAAAATCGGTTCACTAATTTTTGTGCAAAAGAATAACAAACATACAAACATAAAAATCTGCCTTGAAAATGAATGAGGGTTGATATTTATTAATAAATCAAAACAAATATATTTATGAATATTATTTCCCCCAATTCTTTGTGTTTCAAACTACTTTCTCTCACGTAAGCCCAAAATACAGGCCCTTTTCATATTTTTTTGTAATATTATCCCCGATAACAATAATGCGCCTCATGGGCTTGCTAATTCTTACGTTTCCTTGTTCTTTTAAAACTATTTAACGTATAGTTTAAGTGCCAGAATTATTTATTGCTTACGATAAGTCAAAAAAGTATTAAGTACCTATTCAAATATTATCAAAACCACACAAGTAAATTTAAAAAATCCTGCAATAATTTTAAATGTTGAATCATTCATCGATAATGCTCACTTTGCACGATTTCAATATTATGCGTGTCATGGAGTCATGAAATGTGCTCATGAACTCGAAACGAAACCACCGGCATCAGTAGACGCGCCAGAGTAGCAACAGCAATAATGTTTCATATTGCGAGTAGCCGAGATTGCCGCGCACACCGAACACATCGTCGTCCGGAGAGCGAAAAACCAGTTCATTCAACTACCGCTGGCAGGATATATAGTTTTACGCTATATACATTACATACTTGATACTTGCAAACAGGAGGAGACGCGACAGGCACAACCATACACAAATGCCATTTAATCGCAATATTTAAACACATCACAACGTGTGCTTCATGTTCCATTCATATGCATAATTTAATTCTTAATTGGAAATTTAAATTTATATTCTCATCATCACCGCATATCACACAACTCCTCGTATATTCATATTCATTAATATATCATAAGAATAGCATGCACGCAATCAAATTTTTCGCTTTACATGAATTGTTAACATTTAACCCTACGTTATCAAACTGTATTTCGAAATAAAAACGAAATATTATTAAACTATTCTTGATGAGTATTTGTACTTTCACTTTTTCGCATTGAGACTAGTTTTCCTTATCGCGTTTTTGGCGCATGACGCACAACACACAGCGCATCGATACATTAATTCGACGTTGCGAAAACAAAACACTGTGTGTGCTGTGATGCAACCTCGAATAATTTCCTAGATTGTGTTTTAAGCGTATGCGTAAAAAATAACACAACACGGAACCGTTCAAACATAAATGCATAACAAAACAAACGAAATGGATATGATACGAAAAAAAGTAATCGAGACTGACGCAAGGTGTTAACTTACTTAACTACTGTTGTACTGTTTACATCAACACGTATGAATTATTTATCTGCAGATTTATTTGGAACACCGTATCAGCGCGTACACAATAAATTATTAAGTTTTTTTGAGGTGAGCAAACAAAACCAGACAAATGCTACACGACTGGCCACGAAATAAATCCGAATCGGTGTATAGTGCGCCATCTAGCGGCAAACTATTAAACTTATTCATTTAAATGTAAATAAAATCTAAATTATTGCAATAAATACCATAAAAATACTAAAACAATAACTGACAAAAATTTATAATTTATTTTAATATGTTATTTGTTTATATTTGTTCAATATTTGTTTATTTATATCAAAATTTCTATTTTCCCCTGAAAGACGATTTCCCATCTTACATCTAAACAGCATTTCTCAGGTTAAGGTTTGTTTATATAAAAACAATCACCTACAACTTTCCGCAATGGAATAATCCTATATAAAATTGAACAATGCTGTAATTATTGAGATCCCAGTGATTATTACTATAACAATGGACGGCGCAGCACCATCTACGTCGGGTTGTGCGATGCCCTTGCATCTGAAACGCCTTGAAAAGGCTCTGGACATGAAAGTTTTACTCGATGAGTACTCAAAGTGTTCATATTTTGTGGATTCTGATGGTTCTGAGAATGGTTTCGACTCGGATATGAAACTAGACGAAGACGATGACTTTAAAGGTACTTTCAACTTGTTTTGTGATGTTTTTCACATAAAAATTCACATTTTTAGATAGTGATATGGGTGAAAACCCTTTAATCAACATAGAATGCAATGATATTGAACGTTCGTGGCTAGCAGATATACTACAAGAAGAATGTTTGTTAGAACATAGTTCACCAGCTGAAGAATTAAATTTATTGATGAAATTACACATCAAACGAAAAAAGATTGCTGCTCATGCCAGTGCAGAGTTATTAGAGCAGAATATGTATTATGGTACTGGATTATTATCTAATTTTGATAAATATCCAGAGAATAAAAAGACTCAAAGATCTGTGAAGAGAAAAAGAGAGGAGGAGAATAAGAAACAAGCTGTTGAGGTGCAAAATGATGGACATGGTGAACATTCAGACTTTGATTTTGAACAACTTGATCAATCATTGATAGATGAAGATGCAATTAAAGTGGAACCACAAGCACGACCGCATAAAGGTGATTCAAGCAAAAAGAATCAAAAGAAGAAGTTTAAAGATGAAGAATCCAAGAAAAAGTGGGAGGATATGATGTATAATCGTCGAAGAAAATCGTTTTCAAATATGGTGAAGAAAGAAGTTGGTAAACAGCAGAGAGCTAAAGTTAATCGGCATAAAGAAGCTCTGCTGCAGAATAAAAAGATAGCGATGGCGTGTCAGAAAGTGCAAAGAAATAAAGCGGTAAGAATAAATTTTACAATAAAATTTATAAAATATTAATTTAAAATTTAATTTTTCTTTAGTTGCAATCAGCAAGAGTTGTAAAAGAGTTACAATGGCGTATGAAACGCCTGGCACGTGAAAACCTAGCGTATTGGAAGCGATCGAAGCGCGTAGATCGCGAAATTCGTCGTAAACTCGAAAAAGAAGCCGAGGAACAACGTAAAATCGACTATGAATTAGTCGAAGCTAAGCGACAACAACGCAAATTGAACTTTTTGATCACACAGACCGAATTATACGCGCATTTCATGTCGAAAAAGTTAGGAGATTCTTCTCCGGAGGAACAGTTAAGAATATTAAACCAACTGGATGAAGAAAAAATACCTAGATTAGCTGCTATTGATGATTATAACTGGTAATTCATTTAATTTACCTTAATTCACCTAAACTATTAATTTTTTTCTTCATATAATATAAAATATAAATTTTTAGTGATGTAATGAAAGCAAGAGCTATAAGAAATGCCCAAGATGCGTTTCAAAGTGAACGTGCACGTACCAAACAGTTTGATCTGCAGGATAATGAAGAAAGAAGAACTTTGGATGCGGATGATGGCGAGTTTGGCCAGCCGTCGATATTTAAAGGCACATTGAAAGCTTATCAGTTGCGCGGGATGAACTGGTTGGCGAATTTGTACGATCAGGGAATAAGTGGTATTCTTGCTGATGAGATGGGCTTGGGGAAAACTGTGCAGAGTATTGCATTTTTAAGTCATTTGGCTGAAGTTCAAGGCAAGTATTAATATAAAATTAATTTAAAATACGAAAGTTTTAAATTAAAATTTAAATTTTAGATCTCTGGGGACCGTTTTTAGTCATTTGTCCTGCATCTACGCTGCATAACTGGCAGCAGGAGTTTGCGAAATTTGTGTCTGAGTTTAAAGTTGTTCCTTATTGGGGAAATCCTACAGTAAGTTATTTTTTATTATTAAAAATTTTGTTATTTAAAGTTTATTAATTTTAGGATAGAAAAATTTTGCGGCAGTTTTGGAATCAAGACTCTCTGCACACGAAAGAATCAGGTTTTCATGTGGTGATTACAAGTTATCAGATAGTCATCTCTGACGTGAAATATTTCAACCGAATTAAATGGCAATACATGGTATTGGATGAAGCGCAAGCTATAAAAAGCACCAGCAGGTAAACACAATATTTTTCTTTATTTTTTTCTTCGTAAATTAACTTAAATTAACTTCAAAAACCTAAAAAAAACTTTTTTTTAAATTTTTAGTATGCGTTGGAAGACTTTACTAGGCTTCAACTGCCGTAATCGCCTGTTATTATCAGGCACACCTATCCAAAACAGTATGGCGGAGCTCTGGGCCCTTCTACATTTCATCATGCCAACATTATTCGACTCACACGAAGAATTCAACGAATGGTTCTCGAAAGATATCGAAAGTCACGCGGAAAACAAAACCGGAATCGATGAAAGTAAGACTTTTCATTCCATTTTCACCTCAAAATATTAAAATAAATAATAAATTTAATAATTTTAGAACATTTATCAAGACTCCACATGATTCTCAAACCATTCATGTTACGAAGAATCAAAAAAGACGTCGAAAATGAACTCTCTGACAAGATAGAAATCATGGTCTACTGCCCACTGACAACCCGACAGAAGTTATTATACATGGCGTTGAAGCAAAAGATTCACATTGAGGACCTGTTGCATTACACAGTCGGCGGAGGCGATTCACACTCAGTAGATAAAAATTTCACATCGAATCTGATGAATTTAGTCATGCAATTCCGAAAAGTCTGCAATCATCCCGAACTTTTCGAGAGGAGAGACGCAAAGTCACCGATTTACTTACAACCACAAAGTTATACCATTCCATTCATGGTTTATGACATCAATATACCCAAAACAATGCATTTTAAACTCAAGGAAAAGTTTTTGTTTACTAAAGAGTACATACATGAAAATATCACAAATTCAATGAGTTTATTCAGATTCGCGCTTAGTTTAAAACTATCTAGTCAGGAATTGTATGAAATCTTTATGGGAAATGTCTTGGAAAGGTAATAGATGTTAATATAGGTTATGTATGTTAAAATTTTAATATTTTTGTTATTTTTTAGGTGGAAATGTGGTTTTGACTTTGAAAAACGTACGAATCGTGACTACATCCGCTATAACACATCCGAAACCAAAACGGATTTCAGTTTATTAGTGAATTACGCACTGAAATTGCAAATGGCGGAAGTTGCCGGCAGTTTAATCCTACAAAACCTGCTTTTCACCTGGGGTAATGCCGCATCTAAAGTAATCTACGCCCATTTGGAGCATTCCTATCACTCGATGCCGGAAACAGTTGAACATCGTAATATACGCATTAAGAATAAAAATTCTAACCTACAAAACACTAACACGGAGATTAAACTTGAAGAAATTCCGTATATTGAACGAGTTTCGCAGATATTCGAATGTGAACCGACATCATTTCCGCAATTTTTATTCTGTGCGACTCCTAAAGTAACAACGCAACATCCTGCGCTTTATTGTTACTCACGCCGAGCTGCTTATGATTATAAGAGACATGTTGATGATTGGTCATGGAACGCACTTAATTATTACTGGCAGAAATCAAGCGGTGAAGAGTTAACTAAGAAGAAAACGTTGAAATTATCTCTACCGCCGGGACCAGTTGATATTTTACGACCAAGAGCTGGATGGTCGAACATAACCATACCTGATAAAGAAACTTTGGTCACTGATTCAGGGAAATTGTTCGTTTTGGATGGTTTATTGAAGAATTTGAAAGAAAACGGGCATAGAGTGTTGATTTATTCACAGATGACGAAAATGATTGATTTATTAGAGGTAAATATTTAACTTTTGAGGTTATAATGTGTATGAAATTAAAATGGCGGATTTTTTATAGGAATATATGTGGCATAGGCATCATAAATACATGCGCCTTGATGGATCATCGAAAATATCGGAACGGAGAGATATGGTTGCTGATTTTCAAGCGCGCGCGGACATTTTTGTCTTTTTGCTGTCGACGCGAGCGGGCGGATTGGGAATTAATCTGACTGCGGCTGACACTGTAAGTGATTTGTTCGTTGTTTTTGTTTTGAAATTAGATGAATCCGATGGCGATTGTGATTTGGCGATAAATTGTCGCGGCGAGAATGCCCCGAATCGCATATTTGCGCCGCGATGACTAATTGATGCGCTTGATTTATCGACGTGTTTTTGCGCTTATTCGCGGCATGCGCCTAATGCCGCTGGGAGACTCGCAGCGAGCGGTTCTCAGCGATTCCGCGGCATTCTGCGCATACCGTGCGAGCTACCCGCCGAATATTTTATTGCGGGGAAGAACTGGATGAACGAGCACGGACCACGGACGCGCGTCGCACTGTATGCAACCTGTCATACATCATACACAAGTTGTAAATCTAATAGAAAATCAAATAATTTTTTAATTACATCCGCACGCGAGTGTACTTACACGTTAAAGAAAAGATAATTTAATTATTTAACTACTTTTATAACTTTCAAACACAACTTTAGTGTTTTTTTTAAATAAAAAAATTAAATTTAACTGTTTACATTACTTGACCTTGCGTATAGGCAACCAGTAATACAGCAATTCTAAACAAAGTATATACTGAGTGCCACACGAAATAATTCATGATTATTTTAATCTATGCGTGTTAAAAATGTAAATTCTGGAACACTGCACTTGAGAAACCACCCGAACACGTGCGCTCGCGCCGCGCTGGCAGGAAATGGTGCGTCGGGACGTCTTTCCACTCGGTCTCCGCCCCGCCGTCCCCGATTCCTCGCGCGCTTCCGGCTTATTATTACACACGCACCACTCTCTATTGAAGCGGCGAAGAAAGTGCACATTGCACCTACTTGTACACGTGCATTATCATTATCCCATCGTCTCAACAGCTTTTGAAATGATATTCGAATCGAGTGCCATCAGCTCGGCACTCAGCGTTTCATGTTGTGCAGCATTACAATATCTAGATTTAGATGTAGATTTATGCCGCCATTTTAAATAATTTGACTTTGGTTGGTGTTTAGTTTGTTATTTTGTTAAGTTGGTGAGAAACGGGTGAGTTTTAGGGTTGCGCACTCGAAACAAATTTGAAAAATGTACGTTTTTGGCCTGGGGTCTGGGCCCGGGAATGCCGAAAATCTTTTTGTCCGTGCGACAGTCGCGGCGCGCGCGGAATGTCGAGAGTTTTATTCGTTCGCACGCGGATTCACGACGCCAACGATTTTCACATCCGACCGAATGCGGTGTCATTTTTGTCTTTTATAGAACTACTGGTTTGTATTTTTAAAGGGGTATAAGTTCAGAGTATGAAATCGTAGAATTTTGGGTGAATTATTATTAAAAAGCGAATTTACAGGAGAATAATTATCGTCAATTGAAAAATTTGTACTCATAGTGGGTAGCGAGTAATGAGAGGTTATGTTAATGGATGAAAATACATTTAACCTCAAATTTTCGGAAAATTTGTTATAACTTGGAAAGTAATAGAGCTAGATAAATGATTCTTTTATGAAATTGTAGATCTAAATGTGCTTTATAATATGAACAAAGATCCAATTGTTGCTAAATGTATTTTGGGAGTTATTTGAATTTAAACGTGCAAATTTAATGCAAAAATTAAATTTTTGGGTTAAAAACGCAAGAAAAACTCGTCTTTACTTCAGTTTTTTGAGAAAATCTTCTAAAAATAAGTTTCCTAATGAAGTTTTAAAATAATAACAAGTTTTTCATTAGATTTTAACCTTTTTTGAAGCTGTACAACCCGAAATACTTAGCAAATCATTAAAAAACCTCAATTTTTAACGAAATCTTCCACAAATATCAAGAAAAAACAATCCACCAGCACTTTTCTATTACCCATAACCAGTAAATTTACCACAATTCCAAAGACTTAGATAATTTATAGCCGTAAGAATTATCTATTCCGGTTAGATGAACCAGAAGAAGTAATTCAACTGTGCGCCACTGAGATAAGCCTGAATTGAATCCCTCGCGAACGCCTCGAATCTTACAGCGTAAGAGAAAAGAAAGCGGCGAATATAAGAAGCGCGAGCGCACTCGGGCGGAAGTTAGGAAATGAGGGAAATTGAAACGATGAGCGTTCATTGTTCGCCTCCGAATGTCATACAATGGGTTAATGGACCCACTAGGGTGAAAGCTAGCACAAGCGAACATAAAAAAAGAAGAAATTTCCAACATTTTTTATTTTTGATTATTCTAGGTGATATTTTACGACAGCGACTGGAATCCTACCGTGGATCAACAAGCGATGGACAGGGCACATCGTCTTGGTCAAACGAAACAAGTCACTGTGTATCGACTCATATGCAAAGGATCTATTGAAGAAAGAATTCTACAACGCGCGCGGGAAAAGTCAGAAATTCAAAATTTGGTTATTAGTGGCGGTAGTTTTAAACCAGAAACATTGAAGCCTAAAGAAGTGGTGTCTTTGTTGTTGGATGATGAAGAAATCGAAATGAAATGTAAGAATTAACCAATCTAAACATAACCTAACTTATAACCTAATATTTTTACGAATTTATGTAGATCGTCAAAAGGCCGAGGAGAGAAAGGCGATTGAAGATATGCGCGAGCTCGATCGGAAGCGAAAATACGCCAACGCCCAAAAGGTTAGATATTTTTTTTAGTTATAATTTATTTAATAAACAAATGTATTGTTTTACGGAGCTATGTTTCTATTGTTCGCAATAGGCTGCCGCTTCGAGCGCTGCTCTACAACTCGCGAGTGCCAATGCAGAAGCTGCCAAACCGATGAAAATTAAAATCGAGGAAGGCGTGGACGATCAACTGCTTAGCGTGGATTCTGTGATGAGTTCACCGCACAGTGAAACTTCAGCGGATGTTAACAACTCGGATGATTTCACGGATAATAGTTTACTTGATGTTGATACATGGGAAACACCCACAAGTAAGTTTTTTCTTCTACTTTTACTTTTAAAACGAGTTTCGGGACGTGAAAAGTTGTATTTTAGTCACGGGCGTGACTAAAATACTTTAAGAGATAAAATAGAAAATACCAAACGTGGTTAAAGTGCCATTTAGCACACGGGATACTAAATATGTCATTATTCCACTTAAAACCTCAAAAATTGCTAAATTTTCTTTGTTTTTCATTATAAAAATAGAAATCTTTGGATCTTATTCACCAAGTATGAAAATGCGTAACATCCCACGTGGATCAACCAAACGTGGACGTCCGAGAGGCTCAAGAAGAATACCACCTTTAGGTAAAACCAAATTAAATTAAATTAAAACTTATATTAAAAGATATTAAATATCTTTTTTTTCTTTTGAATCTCTACAGAGACAGGTAGCACAACACCGGAACCAACAACCTCGAGTACCACTCCACCTTCGATAGGTGTAGGTTCAGGTTTAGGCTATGAACCGCCCACGGCGTGGCAGACGATGCCGAGCTTACCCTCGGCCGGAAGCTGCTCCTCGATGCGCCGCGGTCCAGGCCGCCCGCGGCTCAAACCAGGCGGGCCGCCTGCCAACGTGGGCGCCAGGGGGTTGTACAAGCCGCGCAAGCCGGCGAAACCCTTACCGGTGCCACTTCCAGGCGATGCCAACACGTCTACTTCGTATTCTTTCTTTAATATCACGCCAAAAGAGCAGGAATGATGTGTGTTTGATTTGTAATCATGGATGTAGTAATATTATTCGATTTGTCTCTGTGTTTTTCATTAAAATATCAAAAATTTCTTTGATTTTGTTGATTAATTTTGTTTTTTTGTGTGAAATTAGTGTGAAAAAGTGGAATTTTTGTTATTTTCGATTTATATTTATGAATTATGACTATAACTGACTAATTGCGACGTGTAATTATAGTTTATATCATCAACTCATTAACTTTCGCTTTGTTCAACGTATTTTTTCTCTTTTTGCTTCTTTTTTTAATCGTTTTGCTTGTTGTTTGGAGCGAAATGTAATGCACGCGATGGCAGCATGAATGTGTACCAAGGTAAGGTTATTACACTGATTTCGGCGGCGCATAATAAAATAATTACGCACTTTTATTATTATGATATGCACAATAACGGCGCGCAGTTATTTCCGCCAGCGCGGCGCGCCGTTTTTCCCATGATGAGCCCCGCAATTTGTGCCCCTCGGACTTTCTATTTGCAATTTTAATAATTCAGCTACTTGCGGCGCTACTGTGCCTACTGCCGCATCACAAAACACGTAATTGTAACAGTTCATTATAGACAAATTGCACTTTAATGTCGAATTATTACTTCTCGCGCAATCATTTGATTCCAATTTGATTTTGACCACTTTGGTTTGAAAATTGTGAGGTTATGTCAGCTGATATTTACAACTTTTAATTCTAAAGATTACTTTTCAATCCGACTGATACGCAGGTTGAATTATATATCGGACGGAAGGTAATTTAATAAAGGAAAGATTTTTAACACTTACAGTTATTATCTCGAAGTCCATTGTTGTTTAAACTCTATTTTAAGTTGAACGGGATTTGATCGTTGCACCACTGACTTATTACTTGCATAGGCAACCGCATATACAGCAAATATAACCAAAAAAGTTACTATTGTCGTAAATAGTAACTTTTCAATCAGACAAGTGATCAAGTTGAATTATATGTTAAAAAGAATATAATTTAATATATTGATGATTTTTAACACTTACAGGTATTATCTCGAGGTTTATCGTTGTTTAAACTCGATTTTAAGTTGGACGTGACACGATTGCGTCACTACTTACTAATAATACTTGCATAGGCAACCACACATACATCAAAAATAACCAAAAAGTTACTATATCTGCAACAGTAACTTTTCAAGCAGACTAGGGAGCAAATTGAGTTATACATTTATACTCAAACAAGTTTTCAATCCGAATAGTATGCACGTTGAATTATATCTTCGACGAAAGATAATTTAATTGTTTATAGATTTATATCACTTACAGTTATTATCTCGAAGATCTTCTTTGTTAAAACTTGATTTTACGTTGTACTTGACACGATTGCGTCACTACTTCACAATGACAATTGCATAGGCAACCAAGCATACACAAAATCTAACTAAAAACTATACTGAATGTTTCAAACACATTAATGAAAAAATATGAGTTTTTTATCCGCAGAACTGAAACGTTGCATTGTCTATATTGGTTTTAAACATCGTTCTAAATTTACACCGCCGTCTGGCCACGTGATCTTGAGCGTCGCGACGCCCGATGGCAAGACGCGCGCGGCCAGCGCTCAGTGTTTGACCGCGCGAGGTAGCGTCGCGGCGTGCGAAAATGCCTAAACCAGCACAATCCCGCGCCCGTGTGCTAAATTTACCTCGATCTGTCAAAACAATTCGGGATTTATTTATAACCGAATTGATTTCGTGAAATCCGCATCGAATTCCGCGTGCAGTTTTTGGAAAGTGCGCGCGCGCAACAAATTGAAAGTCTAATCATAATCCACCTTGTGTAATACTCAACCAAAGCGCAAGAATTTCGAAAATATTCATATGTGGACTTAAGTAAACTCAAGCAAAACCAGAAACTTGGTTATGTTGTGCGTGTGCGCGTTAACTAAGTGTGTAATAACAAATTGAGTGCATGTTTTTGGGAATAATTACACAATTTCGAACGAAGACAAAGGAATGTAAGTTATTAGGAAAGAAATTCGGTGATTTTATTCTTTTGTCGTCAAGACTTGGTTAAAAATACAACTGAAGCTTTCTTGGTGGCTTGAAAGGCAAACGTCTTTTAACAGGCGTTTAACTCTCGATGTTCACACGCTAATTTCGTGGACGGCGACGAAACTCGGACGAGATTTTTTTCGCTTCTTTCTTTTTTTTTTTGCTGCGGCGGTTGTGTGGCGTGTTGAAAGGACGTTCGCCGCGCGGTTAATTTGCATAAAAAACGTTTTTAATCACATTTCTCTGGCCCAAACGTAAATTGTATATTATTAAGTTATTGTTGGGTTGCCATCTTTGCAACAATTGCTGATTGTCGAGGTGGGACACTGGATATACTTGAGTTTTGATTGTTGCAAAGTTTTGAGCTACTTTTTATGTGAATTATGCTTAAAATTAACGTTTCACGAACAAAAACTTTTGTGAAATGCATAAAACTGGTTGGATTTATGACAGATGTCAAAAATATTTCATTTGACAGCATAAAAATGGTTAAATTTAATATTTTTACAAAAAAATTGATTAATTTGATCGAGTAATGAGAGGTTATGTAGATGTCTGAAAGTATAGCTAACCTCAAATTTTCGAAAAATTTGTTATAACTCGGAAAGTAATAATGCTAGAGAAACGATTTTTTTTTTAATTGTAGATCTTAATGTGCTTTATAAAGTGAGATATGAGCCGTTTATTTTGAAAGTGACCTAACTCCGTTTTTTAAATTTTTGCCGGTTACCATGGTTACATGTACAACTTCATGTTATTTATCAGTGACGCATTTCAGATTGCTTATATTCAGAGAAAATACGGTACATTTTTTACACATAAGTTTTCCGAATTAATTGAATAACTGAGCCGTGCAGTTTGAAAGTGGCCTAACTCCATTTATAGTTACATCAAGATATTTACTATTGATAATGTCGGAAAGCAGCGATGAAGGTAATTTCAATTAATTAGTATTTACAAGTTCACCTTATTTTTGGGACAATTGCGTTGGTTAATTAACCTGTACGTTTAATTAATATAAAACTTAAAATTTAATATTAAATTATAGAAATTATTGCACCTATGAGGAAGAAGAGAAGAAGACCACTTAGTTCAAATAGTGAAGAAGAAATAGTAATTAATAATTTAAAAAAAAGCGAATAAGAAAAAGAATTATAGAACAATATTCCTCGTCAGAGGATGAAGATTCAAATAACAATGGAGAAAAGAGTGATGCACCATATATCTAAAAAGTGCGAAAGATTAAACAGAATTCAGGAAAAAGATATTGCAGTCAAACCGGAAGTATTGTTCAAGAAAAAAATTTCGAAAACAAAGATTGTGGTTGTCGGAATGCGTGCACAAAAAATTATAATGAAGAAGAAAGAAAGAATATTTTTGAGAAGTTTTGGGGTTTGGCAGACTTTAACAAACAAAATGTATTACTTCACGAAGCTGTCTGTGAAACGAAGACGTTTTGTTTTTCAATTTGAAACATCTTAAATTATGTTGAATGGACTTGGGCATCCTCAAATTTTATAATGAATCGGGCTGTTAATTTTGAAAGTGGCCCAACTCCATTCTTGATAAGGAAACGCACGTTATTTACTTAATAATTGCCACTATTTTAACAGGAACTTTAAATTTAACATCCTTAGATACGCTTAAGCAGTATGACTCCTTAGTATCTTATACCTATATTTTTAAATTCATTGGAACGCAAAACTTTCAATATCTCGATTTGAAGATAAATGGAGTTAGGCCACTTTCAAAATAAGCGGCTCATATATTCAAATTATTGCTAAATTTGCTTTGGGAGTTATTTGAGTTTAAAAGTGCAAATTTAATGCAAACAATTAAATTTTCGGGTTAAAAACACAAGAAAAACTCGTGTTTACTTCAGTTTTTTGAGAAAATCTTCTAAAAAAAGTTTACTAATGAAGTTTTAAAATATTAACAAGATTTTATAAGATTATAAGATTATTATGCTTAAAATTAACGTTTCACGAACAAAAACTTTTGTGAAATAAATAAAGACATGTTAAATTTATGACAGATGTCAAAAATATTTCATTTGACAGCATAAAAATGGTATAATTTAATATTTTTAGGTAAAATGGATTAATTTGATTAAATATATCAAGTTTCATGTTGAAAATGTGTTTGTTTAATAAAATAACAATAATAAAATGGTTTAATACACGTTAAAATGATAAAAATACAATTTTATTAGTTTTTACCAGAATTTAGTTATGTTTTCATCCGCTAGATGGCAATATGTGTACTAAACGAACAACAAAACACACGCCAGCTGTTAAACGTATTTCTCGTCGATTAATTCATGTTTCCTGTTTGAATTCATGTGATTTTTTGCGTAAATTCACCGAATGTCTGTGATTTAATCACCCCTTCAGTGACTGGACAGTCTGTTCGTGCAGATTTCACCCGAGGAAGGTTTAATCCACCGAGAATAATAAGATTTTCTCAATATAGATTACTCCTTTCCCTTTTTTTCCTTTCTTTTTTTAAATTCTAGTTCTATTTTTCTTTTCTTGTGTGTGTTTTTTTGTTTGCACCTTTCATATCAAACCCTTCTTTGATTTTTATTGTTTAGAATGTTTTTTGCCATCTGCATCTGTCCATCGTACCTGATGGTTTGAAGAATTAAAAATGTTGAATGCCGAATGCTGACATGTGCGCGCATTAATAAAACAAATTTGTGATTTAATTTTGACTGTGTGGCAAACACAGCGTGAGGATTATAAGTAGGAATGGCAAAAAATTGATTGCGAACAAAAAATGTAACAGATGGAAATTTTTTGATTCGTGATTAGAGGCAAAGTAATGTAGTGAAGGTAATTAAAAGGATGCCAGATGATAGATGATGAAATTAAGTTTATTATGAAGTTGAAATAAGTTTAGTTTGGAGGTTATTTACAAAATGGCGACGGTTTAAAAGGTGAAAAGCAGGAAAATTTTAAAAGTTGGAAAACATAAAATGTTTAAACATTTATTACAGCTATAATAATAAAGATATCGGTATGAAATTGATTATAGTATATAGAGTATTAAATATAGTTATATATAACATTTAAATGAATTATTTGTGATAATTTGCCGCTAGGTGGCATGCAATCAAAGTATAAACTTACTTTTTACATAATCCAAAAACACAAATTTAAAAAAAAATAATAACAAAGAAAATAATAATAGTATTAGAACAAAATAAATGTAATTCAATAGGGGATAAAACAAACTTTTACGTACAATTTAAATTAAATTTTTACTACAATTCTCCGCTAGATGGTGCGCAAACGAAGTCAACACTTTACATTCATACAAATTGGAACACAACACAAAATGTTTAAACATTAATAACTAACAAACTAATAATTATTTTTTAACTACATAAATTTAAGTTGATAGAGAATAAAATTAGCTTTCATATACCTTTTAAATAAACTTTCTATAGCTATCCTCCGCTAGATGGCATGCTATCAAAGTCAAAACTTAACGTTTTCACAAATCACAACACAACAAAACACAAAATTTTTAAATCTCCATAATTCTTAAACTATTAGCAATAAATCAATAATTTAAATATACATAGATCAACATTAAACCAAACTATAATCTCCACTTTAAAAAAACCCATGAATTGCATATAATCCTGCACTTTAATTGATGACCAAACTTTGCAAACTCTCTAAAACGCATAAAAACCTCAATAAATTTCCGTAATTTGCTTGTAATTTATGGCAGATATCTGAAATAGTGAAATCCGAATCGCAGAAGATTAGCAAAGGTGTAAAGTGTAAAGTGTAAATAAATTGCGTTCCTGCGCACAGCGCACAGGCCGCATCTTCGTCCGGATAGATTATAAATGATCGAGCGATGGAAGAAGCTACTTTACTTCGCGCCGCAGCAGAAGAAGTCTGCGAGAAAAGTCATCGCGGTTCGTTCGCATTAATATTCCGACGATAATTTGCCGCGGCGGACGCCTGATATAACGATAGTGAAAGTATGTCATTCACTGCGCGACTAGGCGCGGACGAATACACATTTTGAAATCATCTTCGACTTTACACCTCTACATTCATTTGGTAATTTGTCCCGGGTGATATACTCATACCTGCCGAGTAATAAAACATAACTGTTATGTTTTTCAGGTTATAATCAGCAATAAAGATAAAAAAAAAGTCATTTTTGCGGTTTTTTGTGAAAAGTTGAAATTACTCATTAATTACTCAAAAACTAATAAAGATAATTTATTTTTTTGTTCAGATATTAATCCAGGGATAAATTACAAGTATAAAAATATAAAAATGTTGTTAATATCATTTATTTATTGTTAATTATTGAGCAATTTATATTGGTTTTCTGAATTTTTAGTTTTAATTTTTATATGCAACTTTAATTGCTTATAACTTTTTGTGTTTTAATCGAATCTGCATAATTTTACCACAAATTGATGTAGAATTTAATGTAAAATCTGAATTTGTTTAAAAAATAATAGTATCATAAATAGTTTTTAAGTTATTAAACAAAAACTGACGCGTTGCATGATATGCACTCACACGTTTGTAATACAAATTATAGGTTTAGTTATTAGTTAATAACTAACGAACCAATCAACTTATTATAATAATTCTTTTAACAATCTCTTCAGAATTAAATTCTACATAAGCGTAATTTTTTATTTAATTAATAACTTTTCTGAATCAAAAGTTATAAGCTATTTTCTAAAAATTTATAATTTTACTACAATTTTTTTTCAATTTAAACTTTAATTGTTAATAACTTTATTACTAAACATTTAATAAACATATACTTTTCTGCAATAGTTGTAAAATTTATCTCAGCATCAATTTTTAAAAGAATCAATACTCTATCTTAACTATTTAAAAAGTTATTAACAAAAAACCAAACAAAAGCATATTTTTTATTCCCTGTGTATTTTCTACCAACCAGTATACTTTATTGTTTACCCATAGCCTTAACTCTATGCAAATGCACCTCGATAAATCCAATAAACATTTTTTCATTGTTTATTGCCTACACACACAACTTTCAATTTGATTTCCGCGCATCTCCGAACATTTCTACACATTTTACTCTTACGAGTACTGGAGAACGTTCTCTGCAACTTCCAACTTCCCAACAGTTTACTCTTACTTCTTGATTACTTGATTTCTTCATTTCTTCATTTCTCCGCGTTGCAATGAGCAGAATCAATTCGCTCGGAGTTTATTAGCATCGAGTGCGCTCTCGATTGGAATCGAATCAACGAATCGACGCGCAGCGGCCCATCGGCTATCGGTCTATTTATATCGTGGTTAAAAGTAACCACTTGGCGTCTAGCGCACTAACTAGTTGCTAGTCGCTAGTTTTCCTTCATTTATCTTCTCCGAGGGTATTAGCGGTAATGTTAATACAGGCTAAGTGCGCGTTTCGCTAGAATGGTATTGCTGTGAGTCAGCAGAGGCGTATTTGTAAGAAATTAATTACATTTTTTAAATTACGGGAAAAGTTAAAGAGATAGAGAGATCAAATAAATGTCATTTTATAGATAATTAAAGTGACTTTCTTTTGATATATTTGGATATTTAGTAATTATTGTATTTATTAGATTACAGTAGTTTAAAGTGAAACTTTATTTTATTTGTAATTAAGAGATTTCAAATTGTTTAAAAGACGATTGTGACGAAACTAAAGATTGGATTTATATGATGTTGATTTTGTTTAATTGGCAATAAAATAAACTTTGATATAAATTTTACATGAAAGTCGTGGAACTATTTTTCACAAAATAGCGACGGTTTAAAATTCAACTTAACTTTTATTGAAAAGAAATAAAAATTGCAATGACATTAATTATTAAAACTAAGATTATGGCTAAACTATAAACAATAGAAACTTGAATCAAATGGCATTTGGTAGAAAATAAACATAATTTTTAAATAACGTTTGAATCAATTTGCTATCTTGTTTAGAAACAAAATGGCGGACAATTAAAGTACAACCTACAATTTAACAAGGTATAAAAATACAAATAAAATTAAATCATAAATAAAAACAAAACTAAACAAAATAAACAAACAAAATTCACTTGAATCTAAAGTATATAAGTTATATTTTATCCTGTGAAAATTCCAAGTCCGTACCTGCAATAGCCTCGCCAGAATATCAAATTGAACGTCGAGTTCTCTTGAGCGCAGGAACGATATCGCACTGCGCGCGCGTCTTCGCCTGCTGGCCTCGCCAGCCAGCGCGCAAGAAAGTAGGAGTGTTGGTTTCGGTGAGTGGTCGCGGTGTCTTCGCGCAGCCCAAGACTTCCGGTCAGCCGGCGGCGGAACCACGCTTCGCGAATCAAGAATCA